ATCAGGTCTGAGTGAGTGCGGCTTTGGGATTTGGGGGGAAAAATGTAGTTCAATTACAAGGTTTTGGAAACTCAGTGAACAGCTGGGCCTGTATGTCCATTCAACACACAAAAACTCGATTTCTCCAACCGAAAGATTACAGGCTAAATCAATGACTTTATGTACTGTAATCAATCATGGATCCGCACACTGGAGAAATCCAAGTACATCACACTCACAGTTCTGAAACGACTTTTTCGAGCTGTGTCCACAAAGAAAAAGGAAGCTGAAAAATGTTGTTTGTTAAAATACTTGAATTATGTAATCGACCATCTTCAGTCACAATGTTTTAAATGTCCAGACAGATGAAGAAAAACAAAACTTTTGACCCACATCCCATCAAAGTCTAACTATTTGTGTGGATTTCTGTTTGTGTGTGTGAGAATGGGAGCGGCCATGACTGGTAAGGGAACCAGCAGACAGACAGACAGACAGAGAGCCCCAGCGTTAAGAGGGCCTGTGTAATTATGGTCAACCACACACCCCACCACCACCTTTATTTATAGGGTTGCAAACACACTGGGGCTTCAGAGTGCTTTTCCCTGTGCATTCCAGCACACTGGGACTTTTTGGTGGGGGGTGTAAACAAATGATATTTTAAGTACACTGTGAGGAAATTGAGAGAGTGTGCATGTTAGTGTTTGTGCGTACAAGAAACAATAATATATTCGGGCTGTTAAGGAGAGGTTGGCTTTCACCAAGAGTTTGTGCCGAATTCTGGTACGTTATCACAAGAGTGCATCTCCTTGTTCCTCGAGTCAAGTTTGACAGAGATGGAGAGTAACTCATGCTAACAAGTACCGACAGAACTCATCAAAGAAACATGCCGTTGAGGTTTGGTCAGAATCAACGGGGAGGGACCGCTGCTGGCCACAAACCTCTGAGGACGGGGAGCCCAGTCGCCTGGTAGCCTTTAGGCATGAGCCACAGTAGCCCGAGCCAGCCGTCACCTTGGGGATGCGACAGAGCAGAAGTGAACAGACATGCGAGTTAACATGAAGAGAAAAGAGGAAACACACGGATGTGACCTGGTAACTTGCTGTTTCTCATTGGTTGACAGAAAGCATTCCCATCTCTCTCTCTTTTTCTGTTTGTGTAGACTGAACGCACATCTGCTGCACAACTAAAGGAAATGTAAAATGTTCAGGATATCCTGTTGTAATGAAACTCCAGGTTGAATGAAAGGGAACGGGTTGTATGTAGGAGGGGAAGTTCATGTGTAAAGCCTGTCGGTGAACGTAGAGTGGTGACGAGGCTCAGGGCTCCTTAGGAACACGAGCATGGCCAGCTATGTGTGTGTGTGTGTGTAAAGAAATGTGTGTGATGTGGTGGGGAGGGCAGGGGGCTCATATTGAGTGCAGGTGCGCTGTGAGAGACTGAGGTGGGGGCGGGGTTATAAGATGTGAACAGGGAAATTAGGGGCTTTGATGAAAACCAAGGAAATCCATGATTATGGTATACATGTGTGTGTTTTCCTGCGTGCCTCACACATGCTTGGCTGCAGCAACCTCAGGTGTTCTTTCTATCAATCTATCAATCAATCTTTTCATCTTTAAAAACTTCCTGGCAGCAGTGAAGTCCGTCTTTACGCAAAAAGATTGAGGCCTATTTAAGGGTGGAAGAGTAAGATTTAAAGAATGAAATCATAACTAGCCTACTATTAGAATAAAATAATAAACTCAAGTTGTATTATTTTGAGAATAAAGGGGAAGTATGAGGAGTAAAAGGTTTGTACTAAGCATGTTTTCAGTGTGTCAAGGATAAAAGGTCACAGTTAAATTGTATAATGAGAACAAAGTCAGATTAAAATTAAAAAGTCATACTTAAAGCTCAGGTTGGTATTTTTTTTATGTCTATAAAAATTGCTGAAATTTATGTTGATGTCTTAATATAAGACACAAAAGCATACAAGACCATCAGTGACAAATCGGTGGCAAAATGTAATTTTTAAAAAAGCTAACCATGATTAACATATTAGCTTTTTTCTTATAACTTTACAATTTACAACTGTAATCTTCTCACAGTACAACTGAATTTCCCTATTCTTCTTATATTTAGACTTTACTCTTGATATTTTTTCCCTTTAATGTGGCCACTATCCTCTTTTGTATCCTCTGTTGTACTTAATGATGAGGTTTAGTAGGAGCCTTGTGCCCTACAGACCGATGGAACTCTGAGATAAGCTACCAAGATAGTGCTGTGGTGCTATTTAATAAAAACATGTAAGACCATAGTGCCATAAAAGCTGCTTTTTAAAAATTGTTTAATAATAATTTTTGAATTATTAGGATCAGTATTTTGTGTCATTTTGTTATTTGCTTTTGTGTGTAGTGAGCAGCAGTGTTGGATGTCGCTACTTACAACAGTAACTCTTAACAAGCACATTATTTATAACACATACCAAAATACGAACGCCAATACCCTATCCTGTCCAGAGAATTAAATAAATAAATAAATAAACTCCTCTGCTAGCTGTGCAGGTGTCAGTGGTTCTTGAAGTTCCCCGGTGGGAGAGGCATAGCACTTGGCAGCAAATACACCTTTGTGTTGTCTTTTTTTGTCTCACCCCTTCACTGAACGAAAAGCTGTTGCTATTTCAGAGCTTTAGCACCACAGGCATCTTTCTCCTCCTGTATGGTTCTCACCACCAGAGTTGTGGAGTTAATGTAAATTATGTTTGGCAGCTGACAAACTTCAGTCCTCCTGGCACACTAATGTTCTTCATTTCCTCCCCTTGCCTTAAAACTCACACGATGGAACGGATTACTAAAATATATACAACAAAGGACTAATCACAGTACTCTAACTGTTAACTCCACACACTAATGTTCAGGTGGTCGTACAAATCAGCATCCTAACAGCAAGACCACGATGCAAGAGGAGGCTTGCTCACCCTGTCTGGTTTCCAATTTGCACGATCACCTGTTCAGTATACAATACTCCTTGCTGGTTTTCCACAGTTTTGGTTGTCTTATAGAAATCCTCTTCTACGTGCTTGAACAATATTATTCCAGAGGCTGTCATCTTTGTAGAAGACCCTCCTTCCTATTGCACATGACAGAGAAAAACTCTAGTTTGAGGGGTTTTAGAGTCAGTGCACTCATCCAAGTAAGGCTGAAACCTCTACGCTCAAACAGGGGGCATCTCATCTCTGCCAGTGAGCTGGATAACTGATGGAACTTGGATTGATTTTATGTCGTATCACACACATGCAGTCCTTTTCTGTTTCATGTAAACAGAACAGAGCATGGTATCGTTTTCTTTGTGATGCACTAACTGAGCAGCTGACCTAGCTCTAACAGATGCTTAAACCCTGTGCGTCTTGCGTATCTTCAGGATGTAACGCCGCTGCTGCCTGATGCCTACTCGGCTTTGTGTGTAAATGCACACAAAGCTCATGGGCAGTCTCTAAAGAACCCAGATGGCTTACAAATAGGGAATCATACGAGCCGCAGATAAACAGAGGAGGGAAAAGACAGAGAGGGAAGCTTCTCACAATAACAAGTGGTGTGTCGCGAGCCTTTTCTCAGCAGTTGTGTTTACCCTTGCTCAGTCCTCCAGGGGTAATTTGGGGAGAGGAAGAAGAGACAGAAGTTAGACAGAGCACAGAGAGACCAAAACTAGCAAATAACTGTCAGGAGGCAGCCTGTCTCCTTCAATGTTAGGTGTTTGTGATGACAAACACACAAAGGCAAGTACACACTGATACATCAATGCACGCATGCACGCACGCACGTACGGTATTTTTCTTTATTTTTTTCTCTTTCAGACACGCAAACTCTCTGAAGTGGAGCTTAGCTCTAACAGTAGAGTACACCAGCATGAGGATTTGCTTTGTTGTACTTATTTGGCAAGGACCGGTTAACAATGCACCTTCAAACTTAAGCATCAGTGACAATATCTCACTCCCATCCATCACTCTCTGCTGGCTTGCACAACTGAGAACACATTCACACCTTCCCCTGGCCTGTTCTTAACCAGCAGGAGGATGAGAAAATACCCAGACCAGGGTCAGCAGTTGGGTCAAGCCTCTGCTGGCAGCTCAGTCCTAACTGTGTGAGAGCGAGTCAAGGTGACATAGAGGAGGGGGTTTGGGGTTTATTCCTTGTTTCCACAGAGAGACATGGAGTCCAGGGTCAATATTGACCGTCAACCATCCGTGAGCTTGGCTGGACACCGCTTGACTTTTCTTTTTCAGATCATTCGACTCTAACGGAGGGGAGGGAAAGTACTCCAGCCTGGAACTCACACACACAAACACACTCATACGTGCACATGCACCGGTCTCAATCTGCCATCTGGAGAAGACAGGCAGGTATGAGGAGGCTTTACAGTGAACTGTGTGGGAGTTGCAGCGGTTTGGGCAGAGTGACAGTGAAGGTGATGGAGGGAGGGAGAGAATGTGAGAGGAAAATGAGAGAGTGTTGGAGGAGAAGGGGAGCCGTGAATGTAAAATGTAATTATAACAGCATCACTGAGGCTGCTTATATTTGTTTTACCTGGACACAGTCAAATCTTTCGTCTTTTAGAGCCCCATTGAGCTTGGCATGACAAACTCTGCACTCACCTTCCCACTAATCCCAATTCCTCCTTGTTCTGAATTTCCTCACTAGAGTTGTAGCTGAAACCGTCTGATCTATGGCCCATAACACTTTCCTCCCATGAAAACACTTCAGAAACCACCACAACCCAACACCACTCAAGGAGAACTATGCTTTGGCTAAACTGGGATACAACAGTCCAGATTGAGGCTTTACTCTAAACACGAACATTGTCCGAGCAGACTCAAGGATTCAAAATAAAATCCAACATGCTGACTGGACATTCGCCGCTTCATAAAAGACGCTAAAGTCAGACTAAACAAGTGGTCTGCCAGCAGCCTCACGGGACGCTGCCCTCAGTACATGACGAGGCCCAGAGGAAGCTCAAAAGCATGAGCAGATCCTCCCAGTTTATGTCATTCAGGAATATTCTGGAGATGTCAGGTAGGATGTGAACACCCAGGTGTCAAGCCTAGTTCCTGTTGCATTATAAACTCCTGTCGCTGCTTTCATGTCTTCATAGCGTTTATGAAAGTTTTCTGTGGAGGAAAACAGAAAAAAAGATAGAAAGGCAAGAGCAGGAGGAGGGAAGAAGTTGCGATCATCTTGGAGGGACTGCTCCTTTGTTCTGCGGCATTAATCTGCTTTTTTCCCGTTCCACTGCTCGTTCTTTTGATCCGCTGTTGGATCATCCCCTTGATGATTCACTAACAGCAAAAGAAATTAAATACATCGGATTGACGACCCATCCCCTCCCTCCCTCTCTTCCCCACTCCTCACAACACTACCTCCCTCCTCATCTCCTTCCTCCCCTTTTTCTCCCCGAGGCCTCCATTTCTTCAATAGATAAGCAGCGGATCTGTTCTTTATCGCTTCACTCTCCATCTCTATCCCTTCTTCCTTCTTTTCTGTTTTTTTCCCCCCCTGTGCTGGGTTTAATCCCAGCCTTGCGGTGGATGCATGTCAGAGATGTAATTCCATTGTTGAACATGCTCTTCTGAGCCCCCCACCCCACCCCAAACTCAGTCACTCCCGGGCCCGCATGCATATTCATCAGCTATCAAAAACAAAAGGCAGATCACACTGTTTGTCATGTAGCACAACCAGCGCTATTCAATTCTCTCCCTTCGTTGCTGTTTCTGGCAGATTAGTGCGTGTTAAACATATCTCAGACACGCAAATCCTAAGTACCAACATGTAGACATTCAATCAGAGAAAGAAAGTCCATGAAAGCTCCTTATTCTCCTCTTATGTGGAGTCACTGGGAAGTCTGGGGAGAGAGAGGAGAACAGTTGGATACTGACTACAGTAGTAGAGGATTTAAGAGCAACAGAGGAAAAAGGGGTCAGTTATGCAAAGGGACGTGCACAACTCTGCGAGACTGTGGGCCATTCATCAGGCAGCGAGACTCTGTCCCTGAGTCCTGCTTCAGTCTTCTGGGAGACGTCCAGGATGCACCGGCGCTCAGCTCCAGGTTCCAGGCTTTGGGCTCCAGGGCCAGACAGATGTAAACACGGCCTGACCGCACGCACGGCGCAATGCCAGCCTGCCCTCACCTCGCACATAAACAGCCAGGGAGGCCTCACTGCGGGCCAGAGGACAGACAGCCAGCACCGAATCTGGCTAGAGGCAAGGAGGGAAGGGAAGGGAGACATGAGGGGGGAGGGCACAGGGAAGGAAAGGAAGTAGGAGAGCAAGAGGAAATGATCCTGTGCTTGTTAGAGCTGCTCCTATTTAAAAAAAGAAAGAAAAGTGGCATCAATGCTTACTTGTCTTAACATTGTATATTCTCTACTCTTATTATTTGCACTTCCTAATTGCGGTTCATGCCACCACCAGCCATGTGTTCACTCGGCTGGATCTGCTTAGATATTGTCTTCACCGCCCTGTCGTGACAGATGTGCTGGGCTCCTCAGCGCCTGTTAGATTTATGCGTCAGGACAAATATGGGTCAAAATGAAACATCCAACACGGTGGCTTCTTCTTGCTTGTTCTTCTTTCTTCTTTTTCATTCCCTTTGCACTTTCTTCTTTTCAAAGCTCAGCTCAGCGGGACTGTGTGTCTCTGCTGCACCACAGCCAGGTTGTGTGTGTGTGTGTGTCTAAGTGTGTGTGCGCACGCTTGTGTGATGAGACGTGACAAGCGCCTTCATCCTCCCCTCAGACGCAGCATTCCACAACGCTCCGCCACTCGCTCCGTGTGGTGCGCGTTTCATCTTTCCTCTCCTCGTTCCTTTCTCATCCTTCTTCTTCTCTTTCCGTGCGTCTTCTTCTCCGCGCTCTCACAGGTGTAAGGAAGGCGCGCGGAGGAATGAAAGGGACAAGATTCTAATTAGAGGAGGAGGCTGAGACAAAAGCAGGGGGATAACGAAGGGAAGCAACGATAACACATGTAAAACACAAAGCCTTAATCTTGGAGAGCGTTTGGAGGGATCGCTCATTTCTTTCCCTGTACGATGAAGCGAGGCAGGGGGGTTGTGTGTACGGGAACACGAGGGGATAGGATGTGATTATGAGCACAGAGCTGACAGACAGAGATTGGCATGTATGCGTCTGAGGTTGTGTGTGTGAGTGTGTGTGTGTGTATCCCCACAGGGCCTTCAGCTCCCTCTGTTCACAGGACCCAACATAAAAACACAGCCATGTAAAAACACTCAGCCAGTTGTACTCTTAGCCTTGTTTACTTATTTTAAAAAAGTGCAACAAAAGGACCTATTTATTTAAATAACTACATTTTTATTCAACACCTGTGAAGAAGTTTGGAGCACAAGTTACCCAGTTTTGTCTACAGTATGGTTATGCAGAAAGGGGAAGATATAAAGTCCACAATGTTGTTGTTGCCTAGCTTCTTTACTATACTTTTTAAAGCCTTACTTCAAATCCTCTTTTGTGAAATGTGATTTGTGTATCTTCTCATTTGTCTCACCTTGGAGCTCCTTTAACATGCCACCTACCTCCAGGGTCTTTCGGTGATTCCAGGGCTCGGGGACTGGTTCCTTGCGACTGCTGTGAAACTCCATTCAGATGATGAAACAGTGGTGCAGCTGTGTCTGTGTCTCACGGTGGGATGCTGGTGTCTTTGCAGCTCTCTGCCAGGCTGAAGTGAATTCTCACTGATGAAAGAGCCTGTAAATGTGCCTCTTTAGCCCGGGCCCATACATCTTCTTACTGAGAAATCAGTGGGACTTTCATCTATGCCTGTCTGTGTGTTTGTTTGACTTACTATGGGCAGATATTTCCACAACATTATCTTATGATTTTATTTAATTGCTTTAAACACACAACTGTTGCCAAAGAATCAAACACTTTTTAAATCTTGTGAAGGGTTTGAAGGGAAGAAAATATTAGCTCTTCAAATTAAGTTTGTCCATGTGATCTAAATAATAGTGATCTATTTTTTTTTGTCTTGGCACAGATCTTGTCAGGATTCTTCAATATTGTGAGTCACAAGGAGGCTGAAAATTAAGTTTAAACGATAACATGGAAAAACACATTTCTTCAGTTTTACTCTGGATGTGACGCAACAAGTTAGTTAAAAAAAATAGGTCTACCTACTTACACATCCTGTGGATAAGTAGAAGGAAACTATAAATTCACCTGAAAAGTATATTATCTACCTTTCCTGCAGTTGTGTAATACTTTTTTTTAAAGTGTGTACTTCACTATGCAAGAAAGTCAGATTTATTACAGCGAGCTTAATGTTTAGCAGATGCGCTTAAATTTAGGGGGCACATTCTTTGAGGACCTGACCTTTGCCGCTTGCATGGATCACTCAGGCTAAACTGCAATGAGAAAACCTGGTCTATGGACAGTATCCTGTTAATATCAGCAGCTGTTCCTGTAGTTACCGATTTTCTGCTGCCTAGCAACCCTGAAAGCTGCTCTGGAGCTGGCTTACAGAACTAACTTTGAGTAGTTTAACCCACTATAATATAACTAATTTTATGTTTCGAGGCCCGTTTTATTTTTTAAAACTTTTGTATTACCAGCTTTTTGATCGAGTTCAAACAAACCATTTACATTTGTAATTGTATAGGCGATCACCCTGTCACTCAACAGTCGAACATCTCAACTGAATCAGAGTGCAATCGAAATGGGGTGTGTCGGACGATGAGGGGTGCATCCACTAACTACATCAAACTGCTACCCACTCATGTAGCTCTTAGCCCTATAGATAAACTCGCTGCTGGTTTGTTTGTAGATTTAGCCAACAAATTATCAAACAAATGTATACGTCATCTCATTTTCGATCGATATTTACCCCTCTTGGTTGATTATCCCATTTGGGTAAAGAGGGTTGAGAATAATTATGTAAATGCTTAAGCAAGATGGGCTTCTGGCTGTCTACCTTGCCTTGAGCATCATAACCTCATTTTCGCTTGGCTAAACTATATCTGTCTTACTATCATTACTGTCATCAGCCAATGAAACACCTTTGCCAGTGTGTGTAGGCATATAGCCATTACATCTGGAACACCTTATCAATGTAAGTCTCTATTCACCCAGCTTTTGGTATACTCTGCAACACAGTAAATAAGCTAGCTAGCATGATGCTTATCTTCTTCAGCTGCCAGGGCTGGCACCTACCCACTCACTTAAAAATTACAATCAAAAAATATACAGTCTTATCAGTGATGGTCTTCTTCGCTTTTGCATGTCATAGAAAGGCATCAATATTAATTTCAGCGTATTTCATGAACATCAAAATACTATTAAGAAGCTAGCCCCAACTTAAGCTCCTAGCTCTGTGGGCTGAACTTCCGTGAGACCAAAACAATAAATTAATCTGTAAGAGTCATCCACAAACTATTATCATATTAGCTGATCAAATTTCCAAAATGTGTTTTACATTACATGGACTAAATGGCAGACAGCAGACCTTTTATGAAAATATCTTTTGAACAAATCCTGTTTCTTGAATGTGCGAGTCACATGAAAGCCTGGAAATGAAAGCAAAAGATAACCTGGCAAAGCACATTTCTACAGTCCTCCCCCCAGGTGATGCAAGACTTTAGACAAATGTCTTGTTTGTTCACCAGTGAACGGCCATCTTTCAAGAGGTGGCATGCCAGCGCGCGCTCACACACACACACACACACACACACACAGTCACACACACAAACAGTGAAATTTGCGCGCTGGAGCAGATCATTTTTCTCCCTCATGAAGTAGGTAGTGAGAATATTACAAACCAAAATCATAACACTTCGCCGCAGGCCATGAAGTTGGACGAGGAGAGGAGAGACAGCTGCATAATTGAATTACAGTCTGACAGACAAGTAGATAGATAGATAGATAGATGGATAGATGGATAGATAGATAGATAGATAGATAGATAGATAGATAGATAGATAGACAGACAGACAGACAGACAGACAGACAGATGTGTGTTTGCATGTGCATGAGTGAAAGAGTGACAGCACAGAGTCTTATCCTCCATTAATAACAGCCACTAATCCCCTGATGTGATTACCTCTCCCTCCCCCTTCTCTACTTTACCCCCTTCTCCCTCCATTCCTCCTCACTCGTCCTCCCATTTAACAGCGCCAGCCACTTGTCTTCCGCGGCAGAGCTCAGCTGGTCCAATTCCCCTGAACAGATCCAAGACTTCCACTGTGTTCAGCTGCCAGGACGATGGAGGTCTTCCAATTTGACGCCTCTCCTTACTAGAACTCGCCTCTGGGCAGGTGTATAAAAAAGCAAAAAGTCAGCGGTGTAAATGCAGAAAAGGAAGCACATTTAAACAGATTAGCAGCCATGCCTGTGTTCAAAGCTCTGACACTTAATGCTGCCTGAATGAGAGGTGACGTGTGATATGAATCGTAAAAAGATATGCTTTTGGATGTTCAAACGTTTATGGAAATATCTGCAAGCATTAAGGATTATGGGTGTGCAAAGGGAGGCAACAAGCATGTCAGTATAGCTATTTCTGTCCTCAATGACTGGCTGCCAAATACATTTTTTTCAGCATTTGATAAACTCCTACATCAATATAAAGTCTAGTGTGTTTCTATGGAAACTTAGACCTCTGAGAAGGTAGGAATTTGCCACTTTGCTCAAGATGTGCTCAGTAATAGTGTGCTCTGATGATTTTTTATGATGTGTTTGGCTTTACATGATCAGCGATTGAACATGTACAGATTGTGAGACGATTATCAGAAATCGGTTCTTTCACAGTTGACTCTCATATACAAGAAACGTATCTTTGTATAGTGTGGGAAAAGTGATAAACAGAGAAGTAGAATAAAACGGTGAAAATACCAAATGTGTAAACCATCAAAAGAGACAGTATTAAGCTTTCAAGCAAGTTTTTGGGACCTTGAAGGTCACAAGCAAAGCAGAAGTCAGCCAGAGCTCTTTAGAAAACTTAGAAAGAATTTTTCTGAAGGTTTTACGAAGTTTTAAAGTTGCTGTAATTCTTGTTTGACTCGACATTTTAGGGTCATTGGATCTTAAGGGCAGGAAGAGTGAATCTGTCAATGATCCTCAGTGTGAACAGAAAACAGCAGACTGAATTTGAAACTCCAAAACAAATGCTCTTATACTGTACACATACGCACAAACATGCAAAGACAGACGCACACACACACTCCGGCTGATGCAGATCCCCCAGGGGGAAGCAACGGTGCTGCACAACTCTGTACTTGGTTTACTTGGTGATGTCTCCATGGAAACTGTTATGTCTGACCTTCAAATATGTACGCTGATTTCCATCTGGCTCAGGTTGCCTTATCAGATCATAACAACACACACTCACAGATGCACCGTCACATCTCACAATGAATGATAAGAATTTTTTGGATCACTTTTAGATGACTGACAATCTTGACAAGAGTTTTTTTTTAGCTCTATTATTCTTAATTTTTTTGGAGCCCCCTAAAAAAAACTTATAGATCAGATTTCAGGGGAGCTGCTTTTCCTTTTTCCTGTTCACACACTGACAGACACATTATGGCTACAAGATGAAAAGTTCCCTTTGAATAGTTTGCAGGGGGGTTGGATAAAGACTTGATTCAATTAGTGCCTCTTTCATCAGTAAGTAGGCCAAACCCCGGCGCTCTACATGCTTCCACAAATTACGTCTGTGTCCCTCTTCTCTTTTTTTGTCTTCCACCTCGACTCCCTTTCCCCTTTCATTTCAGCTTTCTTCAATACTTGCATCTGCTCGGCTGTTCTAAAACCCATAAGGATCACCAGGAGGGCCAACATCTGGCAGCGTCTTGGGCCCAGGGCCGTTCATCCGTTCTGGGGCAGTGAGGCCTGCAGACCAGCCCCTCCTGTGGAGCTCATTTTGGTGTGTGTGGTACGCTTTAGAGTCTCTGTTTCCTGAGTGCTGGTGCCTTGATGTGGCCAAAACCATCGTGTATGATTTATTATAGTGCTAACTCCCAAGTCCCAACTGCTAATATTGCCGTTATGACCATGCACCCCCCCTTCTCCTCACGTCTCACCTGCAGACTCGCACTGGGGCCTTTACCAGATACAGCTGACACAACTCAGCATGGCTTACACGAGGAGCGTGTGTTGTTGCTCTAAAGGATGTTTGGTCTCCGACAATGTTTAAAAAGGAAGGCTAAGCTAATACTGTTTCCAAACTTTGTCATCTGTTATGGGTCAGTGAGACTGGGTGCTTCCATGTCCCTGTTGCATTGACTAATGGTTTGTTGCCCATGTGGTTTACGGGTGGCAGGCCTGGTCTGAAGGGCGCCAATATGAGTGGGGGAAGCAGTGGCTTGGAGGTAAATTTGGTCTTTGGCTGTGTGGCCAATCAAAGCGACCTCATCAAAGTCCTCCAACCAGAGCTTCCCACAACCTTCCTTGCCTCTTTTCTTCTGTTTATGTAAGTGCCAACATAATCAGCAAGGCCTGAACAGAGGGGAAGACGGATGACAGGAGAGGAGGATGGAGAAGAGTAGCAATGGTTTAGGAACACTCCTGTGTTTGTGTAAGCAATGTCAGAGAATGGAGGACAGAGGGAGAAGGGCAGTGGACATCGGAGGTAAAGGGTCCGAACATGCGAGGAAAGTCCAGAAAGGAGGGATGTGGTGAAGTTTTTGTTTAAAGGCAACAGTTACACAGCAAACTGTGGCTTACTGTGTCATCAGCTCTGAGTTTCCACGGGTAACTACTGCAAACCTACAACCAACAATATTTACACAACTACAGACAATCCGTCAATCGCCCAGGAAGCGTAACACTTGCATGTAAACACAAAAACAACAAAAACAGTTCTATCATCAGCAGCTTACTTTCTTAGAAAGAGATATAAACAATCGGGGAAGGAAGTGGAAGTCCTTTTTCAAACACTCCTTCATCCACAGACAAACATTGATCCCCACTGTGGTCCCCGCTGAGACTTGAGCTTAGGTATCCCCTCCTGGGATCGCCCATTAGTGGGAGACTCCCTAGCAGGCAGCTGCCTCAAAGCTCCATAGAGGTATCACATCTCCTCCTCTTCCTCATCTCCTTAATTAGGACAATTAAGAGATTTACAGGACAGATGGATGGAAATCCAGCTGGCTACAGTGCCTGCCCCTGAGGATAACGCTCTGTCAATGATGAGGTGAGATCTGAGTGAGCGCTCAGAGCATCAGTACACTCACTAGCATGACTCTGGCACCCTCTGGTGGGTCATGATGGACACTTCAGGTTATGGATTATGAGCGTTTTTGCAATAAAACTGAACAGTTTTATTCTTTCTTTAAAAATAAATGAACTAATAACTTTGAGAGTTTATATCTACAATTTAATAAATGATGGTTATGGTTAGATCCACAATTTAATAAGACTGATGATGTTCAGTATGCCTGCTGAGTGAGGAGTGGTCAGTTGTAGTGATGGTGATTTAACAAACTGTCTTTTTATCGAACAGTTTGAAACACAAAAGTCATTTATCCCTGCAAGTGTTGTTAAAAGAAAGGACTGGATCTCTTTTTTTCAAAAATAACTTTGAATTCACTTAACATTTAAGAATGACTGTAAGTCATGTGTTTGAGGTCTCAGCTGCTAAACTATGTGAGTTGTTGGACAGTTTTTTTTTTTTTTCACTTTCTAGTTTCATTCAGCATATTTCCAAACAGCCACATCTCTTGCAGCTGGTTGATCACCATCTGATAATAAAATTTATTTAAACCTTTAACAAGCCAAAATCATACGCTTTGTTGGAAAAAAAAATACTCTGGGTCATATTTGCTATTCACAAAAATGTCAGATGTGATATGAGAAGATTACAGATTCAGTCACAATTACAAAAAATCTTATTAAATGAGAATCAAATGGTCATTTAATCGATCTAGTGGACAGTATACTATTTGAAACAGTGGGTATTTTGCAAAAAATAAAATCCTCTATCTAAAATCATGTTTTTTGGTATTATTTTGCACTTGAGGTAGTATCAATATTACTGTTAGTTCAACATCTTTAATAAAACCTTGGTTGTTTAGACCACACAGTTTTGGCACATGAGCTTTAGTGACATCAGCTGTTAGGGGAAAAAAAAGGCAAAAAAATGATTCAAAGCTCATACAGAAAGTGCTGCTAGAAGACAACATTAGACTCAAAAATTCAAAGATGAGACTGTGATTTTCAAACACAACAGTTAGGCATGTTGCAAACCTGTAATTACACCTGAACAGTTATTCCTGTGATAAAACAGCAGGCTCAAGAAAAACACATTTTTTACCAAAAACCCCAGAAACTCAGAGTTTTACAGCTCTTGTAGTGACTCAGCTCCTTTGTAACGTAGCACGCCACCAGGCCGCCACCTGTTTGTATGTAAGAAAGTTATGGTAAGACATTTTATGTGTCTATATTCACATTGGATAAATATGGTAAATACTGCCACCACTCACATGTTCAGACTTCCATTTTTCTGTTTCATTCCTGTAAACAAACAGTTTGAGTTTTAACCTGAAGAAGGATGCTTTTTTTTTTAGATTTTGCCATTTTGATGAATACTCACGCCGAAGCTGCCACGCAGTCGCTATGGCAACAATCAACACCACGAGCACCACTGGCAACACGATGGCAGCCAGTTTACCACCACTATGACCCTCATCAGTGCTGGCCTAGCAGAGGGAAATTCAATGAGTTCATTTTTACCCTCTGCTGAAGAAGTTACAGAGCTTCTTGGCTTGTGAAGATAAAGGTTGCATTGGCAGGTTTTACCACCAGGGAGCACAACATTAAAACAGATTGTTCTTCAACTGATGGGTAAGCTAAAGGCCACCTACTGTCATGATATATTTAAATCCATAAAAGTGGACTGGAGATGTGTTTGACCTGGTCCACACTGCTATCTGAGAACATGCATCCAGACGTCCATCTAATCTAATCTAGCAACCTTATGTTATCACTGATATATCAACATGGTATTATGTAAATGTACAGTTTTATGTGTTGTTATTTAGTGGTTTAAAGTGTCTGTACTAAATTCTCCCCCAGGATAAATCAAGTTTTCTGAACTGGATTCTGATTCTGTTCATTTAGTTGACGTAATATCCTTCACTAAACACAGAGTTTTACATCAAGATCCCATTAAAATCTAACAAGAATACAATAAAATGTGTTTTGCTTTTGTTTAAAACCAACAAAGAAGATCACACATTTAGACTGACAGTAAAGTTTAACTGTCAATAAGTCGAATAGCAAATAGAAAATATTTTGCTTGGGATTGTTTTGCTTAGCTTTTTTTTTTCCTACAAAGTTTTCAAAGGTTTCAGTGTGCAAATGTGAGCTTTTTAACTTTCTAAAATTATTTATTATTGTAAAGGTTTATTTTGAATTCCAGGGGTTTATCCAGTTGGTTGGACAAAAGATGAATCACAGTCGCTTACTCTCTTTGCTATTGTAAAATTACTCTTACTCTGGTAACATATTAAATGCAGCACTTTTAAATATAAGAGAGCATTTTCGCAGCTGTGTTATGTTACCTGAAGTGAAAACAATGAACACTTTCTCCCACACTGTTGTTATTAAAAATACTTGGCTTTAGACTTACAGCAGCATGAGTGTCAGTAGATACGGTGGTAAGGCGATCATCACTCTTGTGACCTGTCAAGCACAACCACAGAGAGGAAGTTTTGAAAGTGTTGCTTTTCGGAAAACATGAGTGTGAAAAAAAGTGATCACTAATTCTGCTTTCCTTGAAATCAAGAAGGAAATAATTGTAAATGAACCCACTGTAACACTGAAAAGGAAAACAACTTGATGCAGTGAGAAAAGGATGATGATATTAAAAACATCACCTGGTTCTCCTGTGGTGATGGTGAGGATATTACTAGCTTTACTGATGCCCACACTGCTCTTGGCGAACATGCGGATGTTGTAGGTCGAGGGATTTATTTCTATTATTGTGGCCTCTGTTTGGTCAGGACTGAAGTCTACAACTGTCTTCCTGTAATCCCATGAGGCTGTAAAACAGATTATTCCTCAGTGTCGGAAAGTTCAAAGATTTTGCATTCACAGTTGAGTTACAGTGAAGTTGCAACAACTTAACTTTATCTCAAAATGTTCTCTTACCGTTGGCTGCTTTATACTCCAGGTAAAAGCCGGTTATGGGGCTGTCACCTTCAAATCCAGGGGTCCATAAAAGAGAAATTGTACCTCCTTTTACCTCGACTATCTCAACCACTGGGGGGTCCGGTGGCACTAATGTTCACAAGTGAAAGAAGTTCAGAAATCTGACAGAATCACAGCACAATCTAATTTGGTCATGAACAGACATGTGCAGGAAGAGAGTTTTTTAAAGTAGCAATAGAAGTTAAAATAGAGTGGCATAAAATCGATGGGTGTAAAAAAAAACATTTAAAGTCTATTCTTGTGAAAAAAAAAAAAAAAAGACCTGTTGTGACAGTCGTAGTTTCTTCTCTCCAGACTGTAGCAGCTGTTACAACCTCAGCTGTTGAAGTTCTGTGAGCTTTGGACAATGACAAAACATTTTCAGTCTATAATAAGAAGAATTATTCTTACTGCTTTCAACATGCAAAATCATTAAGTCACATGTGCTTTTTAACTGACAACACATACGTGGATTTAAACTTGAACTGTCTTGTGTCCTTGTAGCAGCAGTGGAGGTCGACCTGATCGTTGAAGGTGTTGAAGTTTTCTGAACTAAAAAAATAAAATAAAAACACAAGTAAAAATGTTTGACTGGATTAATAATGGTATTACAGATCATATTTTCAGTCATATTTCAGATCTTCTCCCCAGTTCACTGCTTACCCTCATTAAGAGTGGAGCAGAGAGGGGCGGTCGAGGCGGGTCCAATACCGGCGTTAGTTTTGGCCTGTATCAGTACGCCATAGAAGGCAGAAGGCTTCAGGTTGCTCAGAAGAACACTCTCTACCTCTCGTGTGGCTGTCACACTCAAGTGCTGCCATCTTTTAAATTGTCTGCCATCAGGGTCGTACTCTCTGTAGCTGATGCTATAGCTCCGAAGGACGCCGTTTCTTTGATCAGGTCTTGGGGGCTGATTGAGAGAAAACAAACTCACTTCAGGCAGCGAAGAATGGAAGAATTTAACACAGCCTGTCTTTTAAAATATAAGTGATACAGGCTGATTTGCACGAGAGCATGTTTGGAGTAATGCTATGAGAGGTTTCTGTAGCCTTTCTTAAGAGAGTGCACTTGACTGTTTGTGGGAAAGAAATAATGGTTTGAAAAATGAAGACATTACCTTCCAGCTGACTTTGATGCTGTAAGGACTGAGAGGCTCAAGTTGCATATCCAGGGGAGGACCCTCTGGTGCTGAAGGGAAAAAAAAATTTAAAACCCAAACATTCAGAGTGTGATCTCTAAATACTCTGAGGTGCTTTCTGGTGTTTGGTGTTGACTAACTCATCTGACTTTTATCAACTGGCTGTAGTAACACTGATCCAAAACAATAAATGTTATCCTCTTGCTAATGGTCTTGTTTGCCTCTGTATGTCATTACGAGACATTAGTCCTCATTTCAATCTTTTTCACTATCATCTAAAAATTTCTCATAAGAGCCCAGAACTATTCACTGTCCTTCGGTAAAATCATGACAGTCTCTACCTGCTTCTTTGGTCATGATCGTCAGAACATTGCTGGGCTCGCTCATGCCCACACTGTTGAGAGCAAACATGCGCAGACTGTAGGTCTTTGCTGGACGCAAATCCACCAAAGTCAGCTGGGTCAGTTCGGGATTGTAGACTTCAGTTTTTACTGCAGTGTCCCAGGATGCTGCGCAGAAGGAAATACAGACATTAAACATGCTCAGAGTTTGTCTTTAATGGGTGTAAAGATCCAATGTCAGACCTTTATGAAGATTTTTGTGCTTACCCTGTTTGTTTTTGAGATCGATTCTGTAGGTTGTAATAGGTCTGCCGCCATCAAACACGTGAGTCCAGCGCACAGTGACAGTTCTTTCTTTCACCTCTCTAATCTCCACCTTTATGGGATTAGGGCGCACTACAAAGAATCACAAAAACAAACTTCAATGATATCCAGACCTAAAACTTGAGTAGAGTCATCCTTGAAAAGATAAGACAAGAAAGTGACTTATTTTTTTATTGATTTGATGGTCATTAATAAAGCAATGTGATTCTGAAATGTAGGAATATTTCATCTTTACGTCTGTATCAAAACATTTATGTACTGACATCTTTTGTCCCCTCACTTTTAGTCTCTTATAACATGTTCATCCCACCTGGCATTACGGTCAGAGTCTGCTGGTGTTTGTGATCATTGAACCAGCCCGGTATCTCCACTCGGCAGCCGTAAATCCCTGAGTCGCTCTCCTCCACCTGCCTGATGGTCAATGACACGTCCCCCTCCTCCAGGTTACCCATAAACAGGTAACGCTCTGACAGCCTGCTGACCATTGTTGACCCATCTGACCTGATCACCTCACCGGCACAGCCTCTGCTAGGGATGGCTCCTCGACCCCAACATGCAGACAGCTTGCCATAGTAAGTGGCATCATAGTTGCAAATCAGAGTAACATCTGTTCCCACTGTGGCTATGATCCCATCTGCAGACACACAACCTGAAAAGATGGAAGGCACAACAGGCGATGAGGAAAATTTTGTAATGTGGTAACAACAAAATGTATTCAAATGTTAATCATTCTCACTGGCTGACTTACCGAGGAGACAAAAGAGAAAGGTGCAACAAAGAGGGAGACGTCCTCTATCTGGATGAATCATCCTGCGCTCTTGTCTCAGAATCAATCAAAGGATTTAGTTCACCTGCTAAACGGCACTAAACCTAACCACAGTGTGGTTTCTGCTTTGAAATCTTTCCAAATCACATGACGCCGTCCTTGATATGCACACACAAACAACTTCTGCTGGCAGAAGAGGAATGTAGAAAGGAGCTGTTTCCTTTTCTGTGGTTTTGGTTCCCCGTTCAAGAAGTAGCACACTGTTTCTTTTTGATGATTAGACAGAGACACAATTGAGGTTATTACAACATTGCTGTTGTTTGGTCCAAATACTTGTAGCAACATTGAAAGAAAGGAGTTGAGCATGTCTACAGTAATTCAGTGAGACAATGGGCTGCTTTTTGAAGTGAGCAGGTTTGTTTCATGAGAAAATGTTAAAAGCACTTTGACACTAACTTACACGCTAACTTTTTCTCGTCAGTGGATAAAGACATGCACAAAAGGTTGATCTTTATCCTGTTATACCAAAAGTTACACCCATCATGTCCTGAAATGTAACAATGATGGAAATAGAAAGTCGGGTTTACTCAAGGGCCATGGCCTTTTGTGTGTCCCTTTGACTGCTGAGTCAACATTTGTGTCTGCTGGAGGTTTAGTAACCTGGCTCTTCCTCTTTTATCACTCTCAGAAACATGAGGTTGGTCCAACTTTAACAACGTTTTAAATCATGAGGCTGTGGATTCATTGTTTAAAGTATTAAACATGTCTATTAGAGGTAAACAAATATTTAGACTACATTATTGTGATGTATCAAATGTTTGGTTTAGTTCATTTTTTTACATCCTCACACCTGTGGACTTTGACTCCACATCACATACAAACACAAGGATTTTCAGAATAGATTCACTTTCTACTGAACAAAAACCCAAATAACATCAGCTCTATGGTATTCATGCACCTTAACATAACAGAAAACAGCAGGAGGGGAAATTACAGCAACAAAAACTCAAATGAGATTTTGAAACTTCAAAGACCAGATTACAGAATTAAAGAAAGACTCACACTCACTGAGAGGGAAAGTCAAACTCTTGATTTCTTGGATTTTGCTCAAAAAAAAAAAAAGAAAGATAAAGTCATCTGTATTAGCGTGTGACAACACAGGGTTGAAAGAGGTCACAGGTGGAGTCTTCAGCCAAAAAAGATGTGAAAATCAAGAATAATTGTCAGAACCCACTTTTTTGTCATGCTTGTTTGGGATGTTTGAAATTACAGTAGATACAGTATATACACTGTAATATAATATATTTCATGATAACGACTTATCTTGTCATCTCAATATAACAAAGATCGTTTTCACGTGAATAGGGAAATGGCATTTTAGCCGACCTACAATGGCAACTTTTGAAAACACCCTCCAGAGTGGAATATCCGAAATGCTGCAGCCAGCCACCATCGTCAACGGCAAGCCGGGGTTTTCAATGAAAGCGCTGAGGTCACGCTCCACTTTGCACATACACATTACACTTTTAACATAGGAACGTTTAACTGCCATGCGTGAATCAGACACATTATTAATTGATTTCTTATCATAAGGAAATGGAAAGGAAAGGAATCTTTGTTATGTCAAGATAACAAGATTATAAGTCCTTATCATGAGATAACAGGGCATAAAAAAGGAAAATCCATAGCCGTTCTTTTTACTTGGATGATGGTTTTGGCCTTTATCTAACTACAAGTTAAAAGGTCTATATTAACACTCCAGTATAACTTCTTATGTTAAACATAAATGTCATGGAGGTAATGGAGGGGGCATTTAAGAGTCATGCCTCTGTGCTTCCTCAATATTGAAACACACTGTAAATCATACACCGAGGCTCTAATACTATGCCGTTATCGTAACATTAAAAAAGTGTGATGACAGCAGAGCTTTGTTATGGTGCCGTTTCAGATTTGTAGGATCAGATGTTTAAAAAGGTAAAAAAGGATGACTGGAAATGAGTTCAGTGAAAATGAAAACAGCAATCAATCATCAAATGAAAGAAATATTGTAAATGTTTATAATATTGTGTTTTTCATGTGCATACAATCATGTCATTGTAGTGTTTTGAGTTCGGTATGTAGCTTTGTGATCACAGGTATCAGACAAACACAAGCTCTTTCTTTTCTATGGCAGATTTCATTCTTTTAAAAAAAAACACAAGGAAAAAGAATTAATCAATCTGCATGATATTTTTACCTCCTCTGAGCTACGCATGACACACGTTTGCCCTTTTTCTGCAATCTGAGAACAGTGGGACTCTGTAAGCTGCTGCTTTAGAGAATCTGGTCCATTTTTCTCCATACTGATTAACAGACAGAGTTCAGAAGGTTTCCCTCCCAGGCCGAGAGCATAAATTAAATCAACAAACGTCATGAGCAACACAGCTCACACAGGAGTTCCTTGAAGGAAAAATCTGCAGACTCTGTTGTTCTTGTAATTCAGGCTGTCACTCAGGCAGTCACTTCTGCAAACATGAAGTCAGTTTATTGGACAAAATGTTAATACAAAAGGATTCTGTAAAACTGAGCGATGACAGGTTTGTTGTACGTATCAACTTTCCTACAAGATCTACAGCAGTTGTACATTTGGAGTGTGATTTAATGTGAGAGAAGTTTGGTATTTCAAATATAATCTCTTTCCTTTACTTTAAGGTAGCTGTAGTGATGACAATAAAAATGGTTTGAAATAAATAATGACTGCAGGATTGAAATGAGCAAAACAAAATGTTGCACATTCACGCCAATTTAGTGTGAAGCAATTCCTGTTTTTCCAATGGATGTAAAATTCTCATTTATCATGAAGCGTACTCAAAAGGATTTAAAAGAAGACCCATTCCCACTTTTCCTGTTTATGGTAGTCTGAATGGCACATAAATCACAGATCACAATCCACTCTAGGTTTCAAGGGAAATTAAGAAGACAAGGTTTATGAGACAAAAACATCTGCAACCAAGACAATATTCTCCACCCTGAGGAAAGCTCTGAATCCCTCCTGCAGCAAAACATACAGCTTGGCATGATGCAATATGTCATTTATACTTGGCACACAGATTTAGTTATTTCCGAGCATATTTAAATATATGTGACAGAGGTTAAAAACTTGACTGTGTCCCTCAGCTCATCTTCAATCTTGGTTGTTGGTAAACCTTATCCACTGCTCCCACTGCTGCTTTTGAGAAGAACAAATGACTCCGTGTGAAGGTTGTATGACTGAGCCTAACACAGTCAGTCAATACATGTGGGCAACATTCACAGAAACCCATCTGGACAACACATTAGGACGACGTGCAAAGACTGAGAGAAACGTCTTAGATCTGAGAGAGAAGAGAGAAAAAAAAGTCTCTTAACACTAAAGTACACGTAAAGGCCAACAAAACATTGGCGACAAATGATTTGTCACATATTTGATAGACAGTAAATAGAATATGAGGGATTGAGAAAGAAACTATATGTTGATTTCCGGGAAGAAGATGACACTTGACTGTTTAGCAAATCGTTCCTGATGGTAGGATAGAGCCGTGCTTCGGTGTTTGTACATAAGCGCCTCGAGAAAACTGAACACTGTGTGTGGAAGATTGATGTTAATAGTAATGGCAGCAAACAACAGCTGTTTGTAGCTACTACCACTGAGCACAGCATAATAAACATAGATGTGACCAGGAAATATCAGGGTTTGAAGAGAGTAAAAATACACAACCATCTTAGAAATCGTACCACAAACAGAAATAGAATTCAAGATGAATTCATATAGTAAGGTTTAAATAGTAGTGATAAAGTGAGGGCATTTTGAGGGCTTGTTGAAGCAGTGAAAACATCCAGAGTAAGGCGTATAGTTGAAGTGATGATTTATTCAGATGGGATTTATTCTTCAACAGTTAAAACGTTGAATTGTTGCTGCTCAAGATGAAGCAACCTCTGTGTCATTTGATATAAATATCACATTTGTCAAATCACATGATGTTTTCAACATGCCCACGCACAACTTCCGCTGCCAGATGAGAAATGAAAGATAAAATATTTTCTTCTGTTCTGTGGTTTTTGTTTGACAAGTGGTCAAAGCTTTAATTTTAGACCTAAACAGAGTGGTTGCAACACAGCCCTTAATCATCTGGCAACCATCGCAACACTTTACTTCCTTTTTTGGACAACCTGTTTGCACTGAATTAATCTGATCATTGGGATTTATATTGAGGTCAGTTTATATTTGTTTGATTTTATCTGTTCGGAGAAAGTGTCATAACAGAACAAACCCTTTCCTTTTTCTTTTCTTTTTTTTTGTAGACATCCTGGAAAAGCAACAAACAAAGAAGTGAAGTAGATAGTGGAATAAAAAAGCACATGTTCCAGCAATGTCACAGCAGGCATGACAGGGAGGGAAAATTCTATTTAATGTCAAACTAGGGCTTGAAATGTAAAAAATAAAGGTTGAAATTTAGATCAATGCACAGCATGTCTGTTTCATTTTTATAAAAGAAACAGAGACTCTTGAAATGTTATTTTCTCTTACGTTTCTTTTATTCTTTGTTTGGCTCGATTCTTTAAACAGTTCAAATGTTACATCCAGAATATTTACAGCATCACTCCCACACTGTCCTCCTTCTCTGTCCATCTTCAGCCAACAAACAGCATTCACACATTTTGTTCAGGTTAGATTATCTCATTTTTTCACATAGTGCACTGAGTCCAGTAGGTGGCATTGTGTCCACAAGTATAAACCATCCACACACACTTTATGGGCCACTTGCTATAAAAAAAAACAGAAAGAAAATTAAGAGCAAATTGATAAATCCACAGGATATTTTTGTATCTTCTCAGCCTCATGTGAAACACATTAGAAACACGAGAACAGTGAGACATCAGAGCAGATAGGAGTTTAGAGGTTTTTCTCCTTAAGCGGAGGAGATGGATGAAGTCAGCTTACAACAAGCAAACACATTCAACAAGCATTTCTTTAGAGACATCTGAAGACTCCCTTGTTGTCATAACAATGCCCATCACTCAGGCCTTGTAGGGTACACTTTCATAAATGTTTTCAGCTGCTGAGATGCTGAAATGTTCCAGTGCCCTCCTCGCCAGCAATTCTCTTCCTGTTTGAAGACATTTTGAAAACATTAAAAGATATTCTCTGTCCATCAGGAAAGAAAAACACCCTCTATGTGACTTCTGCTGTTCAATAGACGCCCACTTTCAATGTGTAAAATTAATCTGAATGGCACATGAGTCACAAACTATAATCCGTTTCACACTTACGGAAAATAAAGACGAGGATTATGATTATGGTGAGGAAGAAAATAGCTGCACCCCGGCCAATGTTCCCCACTCCCAGGAAGGCTTTGAATCCTTCCTGCAATGAAACTCAGTATTGTGAGGAAGATTTATAATTAGAGCAGTTTGAGAAATGAGCCGGAAGTATCCACTGCAGCAAAAACACAACGTAAAACCAAAAGTTGGATTTATCTTTTTTTACAGTTTTCTCATCTCTAATCCAGACACGCACACATACATATGCAAGGAGCAAAAAACTGAATTCTTCTGTATTCAATGAAAAATAAATGTGAAAGACACACACTCAGGGCTGTTAGATTTTCTCATTAATTCTATGAATAAAATTGCCATTAAGTATCTGTAAGACAGTAGTAATGATTAAATGAGACTGGATAGGAATAAAGAGTACGTGTGTGTTAATCAAACCAAACAGCACATTTTTCTATTTGACTACAAAGAAAAAGGAGGGATTTCTGCATTTGATTCCTGGAGTATAAAAAAGTGAAATAAAATAAAACCATACCTCGGTTGTTGCGACCACAACTCTGTCAAATTTTGGGTCTCCAGTTTTTTCATTTGTAGACGTGGATGTTGATAATGTTTCTGTGAAGATTTAAACAGAGTTATTCAAAATGAAACACTTTTCCAGACTTGAATTTGCAAATAGTGAAGACGCACTTCTGATCAACATCAGGAGTTTTAACACCATTTTTTTCACATCATTTTGTTCCCACCATGTGTGCCAACAGCCGTGAACGCCCAGTCCTCTGTAACAGGTTGTTCTTCAGGTGCTACAATAAAAAATAAAATCTTAAAGCTTTTTTGAAGGATTCATGGTCACTCTAGAATAAATTTAGGAGCTTTACCTTCCTCTATGACCAAGTGTGTGTTGACCTTGTGGTCATTAAACCACCCAGGGATCTCCACCCGGCAGCCATACACACCAGCATCACTCCACTGAATGTTCAGGATGGTAAGAGACACGTCTCCATCCATTGTCCTGCCCAGCAGCTGGTACCTGGGGGACTCTCTGAGGTCCACAGCCCCATCTTGTGAGGAGAGGATAGTGTTGGAGCATTTTGACCGGGGCACCTTATCTTGTCCCCAACAGAAGCTGAGGATGCCATGAGTCTGGGTGTCATACGAACAGGGAAGAGTGACATTGTCCCCGAGGAGGCCTATGACTTTGTCTGTGCTGGAAGACACTGCAAAGGACATCAATGACTTAGATCAACTGGGTGATGTGAAACAGACTGCGGATATTACTCTGAAATACAAAAGTTGCAAATGCATCCAGCCTCGTCTACACACATAACCACTCTAACACCTACACACACTCCACAAATATAAGAAAACAAAAAGTGCAGAATATTGACTTACCTTGTGTCAGCACTAAGAGGAAAAAATACCCAAGACCACGCATATGTGTAGGCTTGTGTGTTCTGATAACCTGAAGTGAAGAAAAGATGAAATTCTCCCCGTACACACGCCAAGACTGATGGAAACGAGAGCCAGAGGAAAAACTTCCCTTTTTGAAAAGAAGGAAGGAAATCAATACTAGTCTTGTCTACATCTGGACTCGGATTCTTGTGGTACGCAATGAGCTCACCAGGAAAAAGAATCTGTCTCGTGTGCTGTAATTACACACATAATAGTCTCTGAGTGAACAAAGTGATATCAGTTGTCACCTGAAAGAGGACAGGTTTAAAAATTAATGTGCAGAAAATAAAAACGATGCATGACCCTGCTTGTGTTCAATGTGGGAAGTATAAAAGAAGCCAGAGGAAGATGACACACTCAGGAAAACATCATGGTTGACTAAGCGTCAAACACACTGACATAAGCACTTCTCCTTTCTGTTTATACCACATGAGCTGCCAAAAGAGGACTATTAATGACATTACTCTGTCTCTTTGAACTCTTTCTCTCTTTGCCTGGTCGTTGTCAGATTTAAAACCCCGGTTTTCCACAGAGGTCATTAAAGTTTTATCTTATCTTCAGCAGTAGTCATGCTGGTAACTCAAGTAGCAGTGATAACAGTGGGATTGCACTGGAGACTGTTAGACTTAGGCTGTAATGGGTTGTTTTTGAGCATTTCACTTTGTTGTCACGAGACATGACAAAATTTCTTCAGCTTTTTCTTCAGACAACTTTTATTTTGGCACTTTAATCAGCAGTTATCTCCATACTTAAAGGCTTCGATTTATTTTCTTTCAACAGTTAAAAGTATTCAAATGCTCTCCACCCATTTGCAGTCCTTTATGAGTGAAAATGAGATCCTTTACAAAAACCTTTTAAGTTAAAGAGACCCCTAAAAATGACTCATAAACTTCAAATGATTCATTTTATTAGTTCAGTCTTAAAATGCTACAGGTTTTCCTTGTGGTTTCTGATTTTCTTCTTTATGACGCCACAAGACAATCTGCGTGTTTTGAAGAGTAAAGCCCTTTCCCAGTCACTTTATTTCTGATGGAACAATTTAAGTAAACAATCCGGAAAAGGTGTCCTCAGCTGTCCTGAAACTTTTCGTTTCTGTCTCTTTCCACATTTATAACCTAATACGCTTTTAGACAGCGTAGCCAGAAAACATATATTTTTAAGAGTGCGCCAATTCAGTTAGTAGTTGTTGTTAAAAACGCAAGCAGTTTAAGTCACGCTTGTTAAATGTTGATAGTTGTGTGTACTGCATGCACTCTTCTACACTCAAACTTTTTAAAGTAAAATCTGTTATTCAAATTCAAAGTAGTTCATAAAAACTCACTTAGTCATCTCTTTTTGTGTTTTCATCCTCACGGTGAATTTCTTATTTTTGGAACATTTCATTCTTAAATATCAGATTGGTAAAAAAGCTCTATTCTCTCTATACATGGAAATATTGATTCTAAAGATGGATAGCCTATTTGTTTTTGAACAACTTGCACACAACACATAAGTGAGCTCCCAATTGAATGCGAATTTTGATATTTCTGCATCTCAGTTTGGAAAAAAAAACAAAGACAGCGGAACACTTTGAGGATCCACTTTGAGGATTGATAGATCCATCCATTCTATCTATTTTTTTTTTTTTTTTGATTTTCTATTGTAGAAAGTGTAAAACAAAGGGTGGCAATAGCTCTGGTTGGTGAGTGATGCAGACTGCAGCCACATGTGATCCACTGGTATCCTCGAATTCCAAAACAATCCTGAAATACCGTCGTGAGGTTACTTAAGATATCCCAATCTCCAGTTAGCAAAGCAGTTCTTACAAAAGTGATTCAGTTGGAGTTAGATAAAAAATTTTTAAAAGGCTGAATAACACCCTCATCATTAAGACTGTTTGTTGTATGATAGCCTGGATTCTATTCAGGCTCCCATCCATCCCTTTAAACAAGGCTGTCCCAATTCCAGATTTTTAAACCTCAGTACAATACTATCGATTTCACTGCTTGTTCTGATACCAGGGAGTTAATAACATAATTCATGGTCACCTAAAGTTGTGAATCTTTGTTATTTCATTTGGAATGACAGTAATTTTTATGAAGTTACAGCAAAAAGGAAAAGGAAAGAGGTTTTTCCAGGTTAAAAGGTAGCTATTTTGAAATATTCCATTTCAATCATTACTCATAATCCACTCGGAGTTTTGGGCTCCAAGAGGCTGCGACTTGATGAACTTGCTGCGACTCCTACAGGTGCAGAAGACTTTGTGATTACGAGAGTTTAAGGAAGAAAAATACATTTTAATCAGTTTAATGTATTTGTGTGAGAGGGAGGACAATTGATAAACTGCCATGAAAACAGATGTTGCAGTTCTTCCAATACCAATATTTTTGTCAACTTTAATAACTTAAAAGTCATAGGGTGTGTGAGGACAGCAGCAGCTAAGAAAAATATTTTGTCTTGGCGTGTCTTTATCTGCCCTAAGCTCACCTCCAAAACCTCCAGTCATCAGACACTGTCTGTTGCAGTAGAGATCCATACATCAATGTCCTCCCACAATAACGTCGTGATAAGTCGTTGTCTGGGCTGTAATTCTGATCTCAGTAACAACAAACATACTGAAACTGAAACCAATCCACAGATATGAACATGGAGACAAAATATAACTTCAAACTGACTTTTGTATTAGTTTTAAATCAAAAGCAAGAGGAGCAAACTTCTTACCAATACTGAAAAATGAACAATGAGAAAGGCAACCTAGGAACATATCCCTGCACAGCACAACAGATTTAAGAGTCTTCATCTCTTATAAAACCTCAAGGAACTTGCTCAAACATTGCAAAAGAAGTCCTGTTTACTTTGATTTCCTGTCTGAGTTGAAATTGGAGCCACTGTTATTCTGCTGCACAGATAAAGGTTTTAAAACGGCAGAATGACTGGTCTGGTCTGAAGCCAAAGTTCTCCTACCGACAAATCATTGGCTGGACCAATTTTGCTGATGTTTGATAAAACCAGGAACAAACAGAAAAGGAGAAGCAAGACACTGAGGTCAGAGTCTGTCATTTTTAGAAGCTGTGACAGCGGTGGGGAAGTTTATGTCGGGTTGGAACCAGACAACAGAGGGTTACAAGTCAAAAGATAGTGGATTAGCTTACACAAGGCCAGCATCAAAGCTTGATTCTTCGTTTTAAATTTGAGATTTCCTTATGTCATCCATCACTACACAGCAGAGAAGGGCATTGATTCACAATATTGCTGACAGAGGAGGAAGCACTCTCACCTTTGGCACAGACACACTCAGCTGTCAGCAGCTCCTTGGACCATGAGATGACCTACACTCCCTAAATGTGTTTGCCTGAAGAAATATAAGCCATCTGCCAAGAGGATATAGAACAAAAAGCGTGCATGAACGTGCTTCAGTTAATTCTTTCTTTTACTCTATTATCTTTCTAGTGCATTTATATTGACCTCCAAAGAGAAAAAGTGGGGCACTATTAGGGTATGTTTCCAGCTGTGATGCCTGAATCACTTACATGTCCCAAATTGTTACATGAATATTATAGATAGGAAATAGATGCAGGGCCATATTTGAAAAAGTCCCCTTGTAATACATTTTTTGTTTTGCTTAAATTTCTGACATCTTGCTTTCATTTTACTGGAGAGAAAGGATTTTGAGAGGGACTAATCTAATAAACTAATCTTAACTAATCTTATAAAAAGTGCAATGAGGTCTGTCACCTGTGTGCATTCAGCACCTACTCCACCATCTAAGTTAAGCTGTCAGCCCTGTAACTGTATTAACTTTAGATAAAGATGAGAAACACTGAAATATCATGGTTGATAACTTATAAAGTCAATGCATGGGGTGAAATGTATGAATTCACCATTTTACATACAACAGCCCAACAGACATCTTGTGGTCTGAATGACAAACATCTGCAACTTTTTGAAAAACAATGGATTTCACTGCCTTCTTGAGCACTCAAAACCTGGGTAGTTTACCAAAACGTAAACATTTTTCAGACTCTGACCTCTACAAGAATGAATGCAAACACTTAACATCAGAGTTGCCAGATGTTACAGCAAGCAGTTTTACCACAAATACTATGGCCTGGACAGAGTTTGAGGTAAAGCTCCTGACCTGGAGCCCAGAAATTTTCCCGTCACTTCGAAGTTTAGCTAGACACTGGACATGAGTCTGGCTTTACACAGTGCTGTGCTACACGTCAAACCGTCTATGGATCACAGACAAGTCACTCGACTTTAATTACCCTCTAAGAAATGCTTGACAAGTTCACAGCTACATTGTAATTTCTGTTTGTTCAGATATACCAACCAGACTGCAGATACAAATTTATGAATTTATTGATTAATAATTGTCCACAGAGCCTGCTGGCCTCCACCATGGGACCTCTAGCAGGTACCAGGCGGTTTGCAGCTGAGTATAAAAAGGTGAGGATGATGGTCAGTACTTTCAAGTCTGAGGCAGTGGTTCTATTCAAGACAATCTGAATTCTTTGTTGGTTTGTTGGATGGATGGTTTCTCTGATGGTTTGTTGGCTTCTTTTTTGGTTTTTGGATGGGTGAGTGGACATTTCCATTTTCTGAATGTAAACCAACACTACAATCTCTCTTTTTTACCATGAGTGTGTGTGTGTGTTAACATGAGTGTGGGTGTGTTCACACTGGAATTTATGGAAAACTGGAAGCCCACAACGTTAACATGATGTAGGCTGTATTTTGGCTTTCTAATGTGTTGGAGATGCATCATCTACCCAAGCATTCAGTAAATGCTTTCAACACAACACATCTGTCCAGTTTGACGCTGTCGGTGACATCTAACGGTTAACTCGGTGTAGCCTCTGTATGACTGTTTTTAAAGCTGAAATTAAGTTTTAAACCCTTTAAATTTCAACAAATCCACAACATCACTGGACTAAAGTGGGATTAACATGGATTTATTTTCTTTGGAAATGTCATGAATACAGAGAATGTTTTAATATTTGAATAATCTTGTTTTCTGCGCTAACAAGAAATGAGAACTTTGAGAGGATCCAGTTATAGTAAACAGTCTACTGATGGAATATAGAGTAGGTTTATTTGTTTATTCTTTGTCAAACTTTCCTTCAGTCTACTTCTTTTCTAATTTCCTCTGCAGAAACACACTCTGAACTGTGTGTGTGTGTGTGTGTGTGTGTGTGTGTGTGTGTGTGTGTGTGTGTGTGTGTGTGTACAATTCATGCATGATGGATTTATGGCTGCTGCTCCCGGCAACTGTGGAGCCTCGGCCCTTTCCCCACTTCTTACTTCCCACCCTTGTCCCCCATGGGAGTGCGCCTGAATGTCCCCCTCCTCTCTCCTAATAATATCCCACCAGGGAGACAAGAGCTCATGGGGAGTTTGGGAGCGGAAACGCCTCCAGGCTATCCTGGAAGACATTGAGTTGTATGAGGGTGAAGAGGAAAAAGACGGACAAAGATTACGGGGAATGGGGAAAGAGTTTCAGCCTGAATGTGTGATAGAGGATTAGAAAGCGTAAGAAGCGAAAAGAAAAAAGAGACAGAGAAGATAAACAATAAGAGGACGGGGCAGTGGGCACAGGATGGGATGTGGAGATCCGTCCCACATAGAAATACACCTGACTCTCAAGAACATTAGCCTGCAGGAGGGACATAAATAGATTTGTTATTTCCTTCTCGTACAGGACATTGAGTTAATTGTTTTAGTTTTAATCAGAAGATCCCAGTGTTCTTCTTTTTTTCTTCCCATCCCCGGAGTGTTGGGACACTGCCATGAACCCTGTCACGGCTACCCACTGTAGCATTGTTATGGGCAACACAGTCAGAAACCAGTGATTCCCACAAACATTTTCCCT